GTCTGAGAAGGTCAGTGAAATGCCCTCAGGATTTGTCCTGAGATCCTCCTGTACCTCAGATTGTAGAACCTTTATCAGTGCAGCCATGTGGATGAGTCACGGCCATTGCTTCAGCCCTACATTTTCTTCATTTATTTTTCTATTGAAATTTCAATAAAAAAGGAGACATTCATCTCTTCTGTCTTCTTGCCAACTAATGCATATTGTTTCTGTGGACTGTCATTAGCACATTTCCTTTGAAAATAGATTATATTCTTAATAAATTCATAAAAATCTTATTTCCCTCTGAAACTGATAAAAATTATTCTTTTCTCTATACTATTCTTCATATCCATACAACTATACACATTGTATTATACTAGAAGATCAAGAGTAGTGGTTGGCAATCATTAAATAATGTTTAAGACTTTATACTGTTTTATTGGTAAGAAAAATGCAACTGTTGACTCAGTTGACTTAATGGTCCTGATTTTTCATGCTCAGATTTTGTGGGTTACTCAGCCACAAACCAATTTGCTTGCTTGTAAGTGAATAAGGTGAAATGGAAGGATATGTTACATCTTGATGTCATCACAGTATCCTTTTGAAATATTAAAATGTTAACAGTGCTTAAGATTCTGCCCTGTAATTGCCCAATAACACACCTTGCTGGTGCTGAATCGTTTCCCCAATCTCTGCCTGTATGCGTGGTCATTCCCTCTTCTGGTAGAACCCAAGGTTTTCTTGCTGCTTTGGATTTTCCCATCTGGTGGCAACTTCAATTCCAAAAACAAAACCTGCAATATATCATCACTTCCTTATTCAAGAATTACTTGCAAGTACTGTCATTTAGAAAATATTTTTAGAAGTTATTTGAGGAAACAATCTCTACAGTTTAAAATGAGATGGAAGAATATTTCTTTAGCCAACTTAGAATTATCAATCTCAATAAATGATGGGAATGAAAAGGCAAGTATCAAGTTAAGCTATCCCTACCCTGATCTGGACGCTATTAGATAACCTTACACAGCTTTCCAACGAGAACACAAGTATGCATACCTATGCTGACCACTTGGCAAATAAATTACTGACATTGAGACTTAAGGATGCTCTGAGGATTATGTGCTGTCCTAAATGCCTCCTGAAGTGATAACCAGCATAGCAGCTCAAACATTTAACTCCCACTGAAGGTCAACACAGAAGCATTATGTCCTCCCTAAAGCACCTGCTTAGGCAAGCTTAGGCCAGTAAAGGGGACCTCAGTTTGAGGAGGTTCCATTCCCAGCACCACATGCCATGCCAGCTCCACCCACAGGGTGGGCTGAGCCAGCCCAAAAAAAAAACCCTGTAAGATAATTAAGATTCCAGACATTCAACACAAAAATAGAATCTTAGTTTGTAGATCATTTGTCAGTATCAGCCATGTGGATGAATCACAGCCACTGCTTGACCAATTTGCTATCTGTGAAAGCCTGAGAGAATGTTTTCTCTCCATGTGACTCTCCTTAGGCACACTCTACATTGTCGATCACTTTCCTCTATGGCCCCATAATCTCCTTGATCAGAAAATTTGGGACACCACTGAGTTACATGCTGTTACACTACAGGTTCTCTTATGTCCTGAGTCCTCATTGACCTTGAATACCTAGGACCAAAATGTTGGCTATCCTTGCAGCCCTTCTTTTTCTCTAATTTTTAGTCTGCAAATTTAAGTTGTTAAGCCCCCAGGAGAGAAGCTTAATATTATTACTCTATAACACAGGCAGTTGAACCTCACTATCTGTCTGAATATCAAACATCTTAGACATAACATGTAACAAGTATTTTCCATCAAGTATTGATATGTTAAAACTTTTTTTTTTTCCTTTGGCAGAACTGGGGATTGAATTCAGGCCCTTGTGCTTGCCAGGGAAG